TAGAACTCAGTTAATAAAATAAGATTACTTACTTACTTATGCATGATACTACCAATGCAGCATAGAAATCTGGAAGATAGTTGAAATAAAACTCAATGATGCAATAAATGCAAGAAAGAGTTAAAGAAAGAAGTTTAAGATTCAACGACGGAATATTTGTCACCAAGGCAAGGAATGATTGATAACCGTCTCCTTATGAACACATAAATCAGGTTTTTGATGTCTGATAGTAACGGCTTCAGCAAAACTTCAGAAGACTGTAATTTGGTTGTTTATTAACTGCCATGAAAGACTGCAAGTTATCGACCTGATATTCTATATCCAAGAGATGTTTGTTGATTGCATTGTTTAGTCTTTCTTTCTTTTGTTTTCCGGCTTTTTGGGATATGCTCAAAAAATTTAAAATACGCTCTTCTTTCTGTTTGGTCAATGTAGCTTCTTTGGCAGGTACATGTAAATTTATAAATGCAGTTGGTGGTAACATGTGTTTACTGGTCACCTTGATAACTCATATAACTTAGATTTTAATGAAAATTCTACAACTTACTTACTTACGCCTGTTACTCCTCGTGGAGGAGCATAGGCCGCCTACCAGCAGACGCCATCTAACCCTATCCTGGGCAATCTTTTCCAGCTCTTTCCAGTTGTTATTTATCCTATTCATATTTGCTTCTATTTACCGATGCTAGCTGGCTCAGTGGTCTAGAGTTCAGGCGTCCGTGCACAAAATTGAAGGTCCTAGTTTCGAATCTCTCGAGGCGATATCGTGGATACTCACTGACGAGATACGAGGACGAAACGATCATCCAGTGCTTTCAAAATTCAACAAGCTACATCAAAATTATTACTGAATTAATCTTATGACATATTACGAGATAACAACGTTACAATTACTACATACAATACATGACAGTAAAACATATTATTAATAGTCAGTGATTTGTGTTCATGTACACTACGACTATAAACCATCCAGCTCATAGAACAAAACTCCATCAAAATCATTCACCTGAGCTACATATCTTTTCCACACTACTAACTAATAGTAAGTAGTACTTTTTGAATTGCAGTAATTCTCGTTCAATTTACTGAAAATAACCGGTTTCCTGTACAGAGAACGAATTATTAAATTGTTTATTTATTTCGAGTCATTTAAAATTCATATTGCTTATTCAGGGAGTAGTATAAACTTTAATAAAAAAATAACTGAGAATGAATTAATTTTAAAATGAATAAGGCATATTAGAGCATCTTGTTCTACATGGTTCACGGAAAACAGCAACAATACACAAGCATTCAGAAAAAATAGTTTTAAAAATGGAAGGAATCCAATGGCGGATCAAATGTGAAGCTCCATGATAGTAACAAAACACAATTCTAAAATTAGAAAAACGTATATGGTAGTCGGCGAGATCCTCATTGTGAAAGTTCGTTTTTCAGTTAAGTAACTTATAATTATGATGATGTATTGTCCATTGAACTAGATGGCTTGCCATGGAGCTTTGATTGTTCTTCTGAACAGCATCATCAGTTCGAATTTCAAGAAGAAGTGAAGGGTTTAAATTTCTCCACATATAAATCGCAGCTTATCCTGCAGATCTCGATCTCGATTGGTTATTGTTGACCTTTAACTTGTTACTGTCCACTTCCTTGTTTCGATTACATATTGATTTGATTCTTGGTCATAAATTTCCAGTACAGAAGCCAACAAACGGATCATCCTACCATAAGTAAAGGAAATATCAGAAATTACAACGAGATTGTTGGAGCTTTTTTGGAATAGGTGTATCACACAAACCAACAAAATCACTACAATCAACCCTATGCAAACCAAAGGATAAAATAACAAAAAATGCCAAACATTATATACAAAATAAATTGTTTCAACTGTGAAAACACTACACCTTCTTCATCTTTGCCAACACGAACACCAGTTAGCGGTAAAACGCCATGACATATCCCCTCTTATATCAAGGCATGTGGACATCTGTGGACACATATCCGACTGGAAAAACGTTGACGTCCTGCATAGAGGGAATTTGAAAAACACCAAAGAATTTTTAGAAACTTGGCATTCAAGTAAATCAGCAAACGACAAGCACATTGAAATCCATCCAATTTATCAACCAATCAGAAGAATTATGGACAAATATATGACCAAGAATCAAATCAATGGGATATGCAATCAAAACAAGGAAGTGGACAGTAACAAGTTAAAGGTCAACAATAACCAATCGAGATCGAGATCTGCAGGATAAGCTGCGATTTATATGTGGAGAAATTTAAACCCTTCACTTCTTCCTGAAATTCGAACTGATGATGCTGTTCAGAAGAACAATCAAAGCCCCATGGCAAACCATCTAATTCAGAGAACAAACCATCATCAAAAACTAGGACATTTTATGTAAGGGAATAGACATTTAAGGAGTGAATTTACAAAACATGAGAAATATATAATTCATAGAGTGAATATTGTAATTATGAATGTCGTTAAGTTAATATGGAGCTTTGTGATGCGCAATTAAGTGATGCAATTATAAATGATCTTTGTAATAAGAACAATTCTAATGACTGTAATTTAATGTAAATTAGAAATATTTTATAAACGTAAGAATGAGAACTGTAAAAGTGAGAGTACAGATATGTGAAGAAAACTCGGCTAGAAACCGGGATAATGGTAAAGAAATAGATCTTACAAATCTTTTTTTGCACGTAAACTCATGCATAGCATTATTCATAACCAGTGCTTCTGTAATGTAAGGTAGGTCAAGTCGTAAACATCTTGGCATATCTAACTGCATTTTGTAAATGATGTCAAGTCATGAGTCCGAGGTTGACCAACCTGTTTCCACCACAGATTGAAGAATCGATAATGTAATTTACATATTTTGACTATATATAATTCACAGGGGTAGATGGTCTCGAATGTGAAGAAAAAGTGGCTTCGATGAATAACGTAATTTGGTGCATTAAAGGTCTATCACAATATAACTTTTTAGTGTATCACGAACAATATCTCCCCTAAAAATTGAATTCTTCTATAAATATCAAAGACTATCCACTTTCTAAAAATGAACAGTCCTGTGAACAAATTTTACGATATAGTGAGTGTAATGAATAAATGGGATTTCGTCTTCTAGTTATTAGGAACCAAATGTGAAAATTTATTAGTTGTCTATTCTATTTGTTCTTTATAACTGATCCATCATTTCTTTCAGTAGGTAAGATATCAAAGATAGGAAGTTTTGAATTACATTCTTATTCCATTGTATGTTTAAATGATGGATGTCAATTATTATGAAAGTTGAGGATATCTTGAATAGTATATGTTTCACTACATATAATGATAGCGACATTCTTTGAAATGATACTGTAAATCGTTAAAGAGATCTCAAAGGTGATAAGATCTTTATGAGAAGTCTCTTTCTAGTTCATTTATAAATAAGTGTATTGTACCTATACAGTTTAGATTATGATATTCAATAGATTTTAGGTTTGGAATCGAATTATTGCAATGAAGATTTTTCTAAAAGATTTCTGGATACTCATGCAAACTCGACCACCACATCAAAGTATCAGCAAAGGTCAGGACTTGAATAGTTGGGCTCAAAGTTAATAACATGAAACACCTTATTTTCTACTATTTTTTTCGTATTACGGAGACCAAACATATTGGCAGATAAACCTTTGATCTTTTCTCAATACTTTTACAAAGGAAAATTACAAAACTATTCTTTAGAAAGCTGAACAACACAACATGTTGAACTCTTGTTATTCGTATACATAAGTGATCATTACAAGATCATTTTCTCACTCCACTGGTCACTGCTTCTCACTAGAACTCCAGGATACACATCTTGAAGCCAGTCATTAGTTAGCATATGTTGATTAATATCAGGAGGAGTTTTGTGGACATTATTAATGAGAAGTAGTGACCAATGGAGTTCAACCAGGTCTGTTGTGAGATAGGAACTCACTGAAGACAATAGTGAATCTTTCTCCTAATTTCGTGAAGTGTTTGAAGTTAGACACCGTTGGATATCATTTTAGTGGTCTAGAGGTTAAGCGATCGCGCGTGAGACTGATAAGTTCTGTGTCCGAATCTCACCGAGGAGTCTCATAATAAAACGAAAAGACGGTCCAGTGCTTCCAGGTTTTCCATGATGGTCTAGCCTCAGTTGACTCATGATCTCAACTATTAAAATTACTATAATATTTATGAAACCCCATCTGATATTATTCAATTAAAGAGTAGAATAAACCAATTACAATTACCTATTAATTATAGTAATGTTGATGTCCTTATTAATTTAGTAACACACGTGACTAAACATAGAAATTGACTTTGAGTTTTTTTCATTCTATCACATATTAAAAGTGTCAGTTTTGTAGTTAAGTAATAAAATAAACAATTAAAACTACTATTATATACATAGATGAATAGTGACTAGCAATGTACCGTTCATCTTTACCTAAGTAATACTTGTGAATTAATGCTAATATATGAAAGCAATACATACAGTCAATAAGAGATTGATCAATTGCAGTCCTAAACGTTCATCGGTAGATTCAAGTAAACAGTAATACTAAGTGAATTCAAACTAAAACTACCATTCATTTTAATTTTTGTTTTTTTTCTTATATTGTGAATACATTTTGACAAGTAATAAACATTTGCTATACAAGTATTCCTTACTACATTGTCATTTTTAACCTAAAACACAAAGAGAGAGAGAGAGAGAGAAATGAAAATTTCTTAGATGTATTACTGCATAACCTTAATATTGATGTGTCTTCCCTACAAATGAATCGATATTGTACTACACATGATTGTTGAATGGTAAGTAAAGATACATTAACTATATATAGTAAATACTATGTAAAAGGGGTTGAAATATCAATTTTTTTTCTTCATTCAAATTCAGTTGTTATTTTATTGAATCTGTGAAGAAACAGAAGAAGAAGAAGAAGAAGAAGAAGAAGAATGTGCTCTTTCTGAAATGTCACTTGGAATAATGAAGAATATGAATTACTATCTAATAACTAGTTTTATATTATTGAATAATGGTTTATCATTTAAAACAAATACGATTGATAATGTCAACAATATTCATCTACAATCATCAATAGAAAATACCATGATTAATAATAATAATAATTCTAATCTTGTTCATACTGATTTACATAATGATAAAACAATAACATGTTTATCGGATAATCCAATTGTCCATACATCTGTTGGAATCTATTGTGGATTACGTGAAATAGTTCATTGGCCTAATGGACCAGCATCAATGGTTGATGTTTATTATGGTAATTTTATCAATTAAATTGTATAATCTTTTGTTTAATTAGGTTTAATAAAATGTTATTAAGATAATAATAATTGTTATCATTTGTGACCTGTATGCCTTGTTAATGTATAACGTAATGATACCGTTAATCACAGAACAGTAATTTGTCAATCGGACCAATAACGCATAAGACATGTTCGAGCAGCCTAGAGTTCAAATCGGTCCTACTTCCCGCTTAACCCAGCCTGTTAAGACCACAACACCAATCTCTGCGATATAAATCTTGTATTTCAAACATACTGGGTTTATATAACAACCAGACAGACCACATCGTACCATAAAATAGGGAACAACATTTGTACACGATTTAGCCAAATGTGGCTGTGGATCAGGGTCATAGTAGTTGGTAAACAGGTCATAACTCAATAAGGGTAAATCGTATAACAATAGTTCATAGATCAAGATAAAGCTCATAATAAGAGGGATATGAATATGAATAGTTTAGTTATTTAATAACTATACGATAAAAATATACGCATTGTATCGGTCCATAATGGATCCCAAAAGTTACCATTTATTATTCTCATCGGGATACAACGATAGTGTACACTTTTTCATAATAATCACAATGTATGTAACCATTTGTTAGATGAAATTTGTATTACATCATTAACATTATAGTCCTCTATCTATCTAATTGTTATAATCAAATGATTTTAAATGAAAGCAATTTATGACAATAAATCTGATACGATAATATCAATAAAATTTGACATATTATTCAACTCATAATGACTTAGTAACTAAGTGGATAATGCGATGACATCTGAAGTGAATGGTACAGGGTTGGAATCCCAGAATGAACATCGACTCTGAGATACAGGTATATCCAGCTAACGAGTCTCCAATGAGACGAAATGTGCATCAAACTGGATTCCACTGTTAGCTATTATCCATCTTTGCTTATAATTCATTAATTCTGGTCTCATCAACTTACACTTTAATTAAGTGATATAATTAGAATAATTAGTGTCTATGATAAATTAAAAAAAGTGTAGTGTGAGATAAAGTTTATGAGAGTTATGTAATAGATTTGTCAAATACATTTTGAACTAAAATATCGAAGTATTAAAAACAAACATAAATTAAGCAACGTGTTGAAATCACTAAATGACAGGAACAGGTAACCTAGATATTCAAACAGGCCGCCACATATTCAAGATAAATCTCATCATTTATTGACATTAAATGGAAATCCTATAAAGATCAATAGTTTATAGCTAACTTTTTCGTTGAAATTAAATGTTCCTAAGAAATTGAAACTTTTACAATACCGTATAGAATTGAATCCAAAAACTATATTTTGTAATTAATGCGATGATCAGATAAACCGTACCGTAAAACTTGGTTATTATCAGAAAGGGTTTTTTGTGTGGATAATATAGTAATTTCAATAGTTGAGATCATGAGCTAATTGAAGCTAGATCACCATGGCAAACCTGGAAGCACTGGACAGCCTTTTATATCTATTGTCGTTAAGCGCTCGCGTGCGAGACTGATAGGTCCTGGGTTCGAATCTTGCGAGGCGGGGTCATGGGTGCACACTAATGAGGAGTCCTACAATAGGACGAAACGGCCATCCAGGGCTTCCAGGTTTCCCATGGTGATCTAGCTTCAATTAACTCATGATCTCAATTATTAAAACTTGGTTATATTGAATTCAATTTGAACAATATAGACCCCTTGACATATTATGACATATAACTTTGATATAATTCCAGATTTCATAATTATATTATTAATGTATTTACAAGTACAGTTGTAAACATTTGTCAAAAACTTACTTTATATTATGAAGAGTAAATTTTAAGGTAATTTACAGACATCTAATTACTTTGTCAACACTTTTCATTGTTCTAAATCTGATAATTGTAACTAAACAAAAACCTCCGCCCCCCCCCCACGTTTATTGTTAAACAATAAATAAATTCTATGATATTTATTAATATTTAATCAGTGTCCCAATGTGAAAAAAAAATTTGGTTTCTAGGTATGGTGTATCATCAATGATCTAAATAATAAACAGACATTGCAAATAAGGAATATCATACTTGATGAACAAGTTAGTAACTATTTGGGGTCAGTAGCTTAGCATACAACATGTTGACGTTAAAGTGATATTTACTAGATTCAAGTCTTATTATGAACATAAATACTGGAAACAAGTGCATCCAGCTTCTAAGTTTTAAATGAAAAGATATAGATATCTCCCGAATTCCACTGGTGGCTTAAATATAAAAAAAGTCTGTTACTTTTTGTAACTACAAGCAATATCAAGGCATAAGCTCACAGAGTATTGAGTCACGTAGTACACATGAAGAGAAATAAGCACTTCATTCTATTATCAGAGTAGGAGTCCCATACTAGGACGTAAATGGATATCCAGTGCTTCCAGGTTTTCCATGGTGGTCTCGCTTTAATTGACTCATGAACTCAACTACTAAATTACTTTATTTTATATTTAAAATAATGATAAGTTAAAAGATGTGTTTAGGTATAGCAAAACACAAATAAACTCTAAAGAAATTTTGTATCATATCAAAATGAAGCAAACTACATTTTCAGCAGTTCGTGTTTAATGATTTTACAGTTTATATGGTTTTTTGATAAAATCAGATTAAGATTTTTGTAGTAAGGATAGAGGACCTACAGCCTATGGTATTCCTTTTTTATTATGCTTTTGTGAATGTCTAGTCTACGCTTGAATGTGTCAATTGAAGCTGCGGATACCACTGTTTCGATTAACAGGTTTCAAGAATTGATGACTCAATGTGAAAATATGTATGCCACCGGTATTTTGTTAATTCTTGGCTTTTCTAATCGCCTGCTATATCCTTTGAGATGTCCCGATCTTGTGGGAGGAAAAGAGAGGATATATTAGGTGCAAAATCATTTCTCAGTATTCCATACGTGAAAATCACATCTCCCCTTAGTCTATGATAGGACAGATTAAAGAGGTTTTGATTTTCAAGCCGCTTCTTGTATATTATACATCGGTATTCTGGAATTGGACGGGTAGCTGTTCTCTGTACATTTTCCAGGATATATGAGTGACCTTTTGAACAGGGGCTTGCAGCCTGAACACAGTTCTCAAGCTTAGTTCTCACTAAGGTTATGTATACTGTAGTGAATATGGTAGTATCTAACTTATTAATTGTTCGTTTCAAAGCCCAGAGGGTTATAAATGCCTAGCTGCGACCAGCAACGGGCCGTCGTCCTAAGATCATGACTCACTGTCATCACAAGATCCTTGTGAAACAGGACCACAGGTACAGGTACTTCCCTTATACTGTATCTATTAACCTTTGTATCCCCAAAATTCATGTAGACACACTTTGTTGCGTTGATAGGCATCAGCCGTTCTTTAGACCAGTAAGATCACTCTTTAAGTTTGTAAAAAACGGACATGCACCATGTAATTGAACAATAAATAAATAACTTTTTCCATATTGTTTTAATTCTTTTACAAAGGTATACGTTATGCTCAATCACCTACTGGTTCATTACGTTTTAAAAAACCTGTAGAACCTATTCCTGAACCAAAGAAAATTTTTATGGCTGATAAATTACCTTCTACTTGTCCACAACCAAAAGATACAATGTTTCAAGTAAGTTAATTCACAATATTGTAATTCTTCTCTTTAAAATATTAACAATCTAATCACAATCTATACACTTTATACATTGTATTTTGAAGGCGGGGGAGGGAGGAATGGGAATTTTATCAACCTAAAAAACAAATAAATATTTTAATTTACATAGTTGAGATCATGAGTCAACTAAAGCTAGACCACCATGGAAAACCAGGAAGCACTGGACAGCCGTCCTGTCTTATTGTGGAACTCTTCTACAGTGCGCGTGCACAATCCCGCCTCGCGAGATTCAAACTCAGGAACTATCAGTCGCGCCTATGAATGCTTAACTTCCAGACCGCTGAGCCGGCCGGTATCCAACACTGTTACTGTCTAACTTCAACTAATCCATTGTAGTCTAGCTTCGATTAACTCATGATCTCAACTATTAAAATTACAAAACCCCTTCTGATTTTAATTTGCATTAAGTTTAGTTAAGAACTTTCATTTTCACAGTCAAGTTAATCTAATGAATATCCATAGTAGTTGGGCAGTAAATGAAAGAAGACCAAAACTCTGAGTATACAAATGAGATTACCATGTTTTTCTTTCAAGATTTTGTAAGTGTTTAACCTTCCCCCACCCCAGAAAAAACACATTGAAAATAGTGGTATGTACTAAATGGGTATCATTTTATTTTCATGAAAGAATTATATTGTTCTGTATTATGTAATCAACAATATTTATATGCCTGGGATCTGACTCCAATTCGATAGTATGAATGTTTCCTGTCGAAATGTATATCCTGACTATTCTTGTACATAATTATCGACTTAGATCGTGTTAGTAAATAATAGAATTATATAAACCAAATACGCGAATGAATATTTCATGCACACATTGATTTGAACAGGCAATCAGGGAATGAAGAAAAGAGAAGTGAGCGAAGCGAAATGACGCGTAGTGGAAAAGGCGTGTGAACCAACTCAACATTTATAATCAGACAAAATTAAGCTACAGACATGTGATAAGTAGAATAAAAAGCATACACACATATACACCCATATAAAAGCAGTCAATGTTGATAAGTGAATAATTAACAAGATCAAAACGTGACTCAGGTATAATGGATAAAACTGGCCTGTTCAGAAGCTAGAATAAAGTATATGGGCTTAACATACCAGTTGACACTACAGGTATATGTAAAGTATTAGGAATACACGATATTCTACTTTATTCAGTGTCAAATGCTGAATGTTACATCAAATATCTTCTATAATATATATAATCAAGGAAATTGATTGTTTGGGTCAGATTCATTGATTATTAAGTCATGATCACGATCAGTGTCGTTTACTTAGCTCTTAATCTCTATAGGATTCTACCAGTCAAGTTGCTATATGGTCATTAGATCATTTGATTAGACATCTTGCACACGATATTGAGATATCAGGTGATTAGAGATGGTCGATCGAATGCATTAGGTCTTCATTCACCCTAAGATTTCAGGTTTGTTCTCAAACTAGTATCATTTAGCAAAAAACCTAAACCTATGGTTTGTCGCTGACTATCTTTGACCAATTAACAACAGATTTAAATCTCATATGGCTAGATGAAAATAATGACTTTAATAATACTATTGCTAGTATATCCATAAACAAAATATCATTGTCCAGTGAATAAGTACTATATATTAAAACCATTATTAGAACTGAAATTTGGCTAAATTCAGATGGCCATTATCAATGTATGACTTGTATTCGGCGGCCTGCTTGAGCATCTGGGCTACCTGTTCCTGTCATCTAGATATTTCAACAAGTTATCTATTTTTGTTTGTTTTAATATATCATTATGTTTATTAATCGCATAACCTATTCTGCTGCGTTTCTGAAAAGTGTACAACCTTTCGTTGTCAAAGTTACAGAAAACTCAATAAGAGACAATATGGTTGCTGGCAATATACAACGAAAAGAATGCATATTATTCAGATGTTCATTTAGTGAACTGCTAACATCTAACTGGCGATCACTCAATATTTATCGCCAGGACCGACCAAGAAGAAAGAAACGGAAACTTATTGAAATACTTTATGCTGAGAATTCTATATTGTACCAAAAATATAATATTGAATAAAGCTGATAATAATAATAATAATATCTTTATGCGTTGGTGATAGTTTTTCTGGTTAACGTTTTTTAAGCGAGTTACTTTTCTACGGGATGGGGTCGCTAACCCCATGCCCAACCCTCTTCCTTTAACCGTGCTTAGAACCGGCAGTAACCCCAGAGGGACTCCAGGCAGAGTTATCGGTAAGTTACCACACCATACATCACTATTGAGAAATAGAAAATCACTTAAGTTAGAAGTAAAGGATTACAATTAGTTTTATATTCAATAGTAAATTAAATATGAAGTATTCAATTCGCAAGAAATAAATGAATTTAAAGAACGAAATGGTAAGAATGATTTAGAAGATATAGAATGAATAGAATCGTGTCACCTAGAACCATCCACTGTCATGAATCATTGATTACGACTATTGAATATGCTCAAACCAGATAGTCTTCATATATCTATATGTCTCAGATCAGCAGTTAGTGGATTCATGGCTTGATGTTAGATCTTGAACTACCTCCTCCTGGGTTCTTAAACGTGATCTTATCATAACCAAGCATAATAACAATAAACCTTCTAAAAACATCTCATTCAAGTTAAATGGCACAACCTATTTAAAAGTGGATCTAAGGTACTAATAATAGCCAATGAAAAGATATCTCTTATCGAGTAATTTGCTGACTAATCTTCTAACCATATACGTAAAAATAGAACTTCTGAGAAATAGAAGTCTTTAATTCCAACATGTCTGATAGACATAAAAATGGGCATATCTCCAAGGTAACATGCCAGCTAATTTTAGAAACTAGGTAGAAAATTGGAAAGTAAGCTAGTATAATTGTATCCATTCTTGATTTTAGAATTCAGCGGCAGCTAGAATGTGGGTACCAAATACACCAATGTCAGAAGATTGTCTTTTCTTAAATATTTGGGTACCTTTAAAAGAATCGAATAGTAGCCATTCGAATTCAAAAGAAAAACTTGCAGTTATGGTGAGTTATGTACAATACCTTATGTATAGTGTTATCAAATATTCACTTAGTCAATTGTTTCATTCACCTTAAACTTACTTTACAATGAGGCACCAGATAGATATGCGCCACATAAATCATTCGATTTATGTGAGGGTAGGGATACTGCTCGTGTGCCCAAACCGAAGCAAGTGGTTTTCTTAGGATGACGCACCCGGAGCCTTTGACCTAAAGCTCTAGTCCGCAGAGTAGTGGAGAAACGCAAGAAGATGCAGTCCCATGGTAGCCGGTGACTAACAATAGGTTCATACTCCATTTGTTCCTTCAGGATCCTGAAGCCAATGTTCATCATTGGTTGGGAATCAGGGTTTTCCAATTCCCCTTGTCCACCAACCCAGGCTCCAGATATTCGGTTTTCGTCCTGTCGCTTTCGTAAACAACACTCCCGCCGCGAGAACGCAATAATAATAATAATAATAATGTAATAACTACATTTATTTCTAAATCAATTAGACGATTTGGACTTCGCAGATGACCTAGCCCTCCTATCACGTATATACGAACAGATGCAGATGAAGACAGCCAGTGTAGCAGCAGTCTCTGCATCAGTAGGCCTCAGCATACACAAAGGGAAAACTAAGGTCCTCAAATTCAAAGCGGAGAACAGCAATCCAATCACACTTGATGGCGAAACTCTGGAAGATGTAGAGTCCTTCACATACCTGGGAAGCATCATCGATGAACAAGGAGGATCCGATGCAGACGTAAAGGCGAAGATCGGCAAAGCAAGGGTCGCTTTCCTACAATTGAAGAACATATGGAACTCAAAACAACTTTCAACCAATATCAAGGTGAGAATCTTCAATACGAACGTCAAGGCAGTTCTACTGTATGGAGCTGAAACTTGGAGAACTACAACAACCACAATCAAGAAGGTACAAGTATTTATAAATAACTGTCTACGCAAGATACTCAACATCCATTGGCCGGATACCATCACCAATAGCCTTCTGTGGGAGAGAACAAACCAACTTCCAGCTGAAGAAGAAATTAGGAAAAGACGATGGAAATGGATAGGACATACATTACGCAAATCGTCGAACTGCATCACGAGGCAAGCCCTAACTTGGAATCCTGAAGGGAAGCGAAAAAGAGGAAGGCCAAAGAACACATTGCGTCGGATTATAAAAGCGGATATGAAAAGGATGAATTACAACTGGACGGAGCTAGAAGGAATTGCTTAGGACAGGGTTGGATGGAGAATGCTGGTGAGCGGCCTATGCTCCTTCACGAGGAGTAACAGGCGTAAGTAAGTAAGTAAGTAAGTACATTTATTTCTAATTTGCTTACGGCATCACCCACTTTCTGTTTATACATACATCTTAAAATGACCTTACATATTCTTATCCACAAATACATAAAACATCATTTATCAACATCCAATTATTTAGTATTATTTTGTATATCGATATTGGTCTACCAAGGTGCTTGGTACCTGTGCCACACGATTGAATTGTACTATCTAGTTTGTAGCGTTCAGGCTTATATGGTGACTGGTTCGCCTGTGAAGCGGGGTTGAGCTGTACTGTTTGAGCTGTCACGTGAAAGTCTGGATGGTGACCGGTTCTTCTAAAAACCAGTGTAAAATTGTTATATAACTGTGAACTATGTATCGATATGAATATAGTTGTAAGCTTCTCAACAGAACCCACGAACCATACTGATTTTGTATAATTCTGTATCAATCATTGTATTTGCCTTTTCTTCGGAAGAAAAGTACTTTTAGTTGTTAAATACTACATAAGGTTTTCATATTTTTCCTTATATATGCTAAACAAATTACTCATGTGACCGTCATTATAATAGTTCATGTCAAATAGTTAATCAGTCAATGGTATAATGTGGCAGAACGATACATAATCTCCAATCCTTTCCTTAATTATCACAAATGCAAGCAATACTCATACAATTAATTCAAATAATTTCTGATAACTAAACATTCGAATACAGAGATATAATTCTGATTGATCATATTTTGAATCATGATTTGTACTAATGTGATGTGTGTTACTGATTTCGACAGCTATAAGTAGTATGTATCATCAATCAAAATTGAAATGCCTGGAGGCAGAAGGTTATGAAGAATAAATAAACGAGAATGAGAAAAAAGGATGATTGGTGTGGTTCTCACATTTTACTAAGACCTTCTGTAATTCCATGTTGAAATATGTTCGATTGTAATGAGTAGTATAAGAAACCAAAACTATGCATCAGCAGATTCATAGATATTTGTTTTACCATAATGTATTTTAAAAAATCTTCAGTAGACGGGTGTTATGTTTTGTAATTACTTGTCTGAAAACTTTTTCCTCTAAAACAGTTATGGATATACGGTGGTAGCTTTTATATGGGAACAGCAACATTGAGCGTATATGATGCGAGATTTTTAGCTGCTAGACAAAATATTATTGTTGCATCAATGAATTATCGTTTGGGTTCATTTGGTTTCCTTTATATGAATACAGAAGAAGTAAGTTTATTTATTTATTTATTTAAACACATAAACATTGGTACAAACGGGCACTAAATAGACATGCGCCACACAGTCAATTGAATTGTATGTGGGCTGTGATACTACCCGGCTGTCCAAACCGAAACAGGTGGTTTTCCTAGGGGGACACACCCGGAATCTTCGACCCAAAGGTCTAATCCACAAGGCAGTGGTGAAACGTCAGGAGATGCAGTCCCATGGTAGCTGGTGACCAACAAATAGGTTCATACGCTATTTATTCCCTTAGGATCCTGAAGACATTAACATTCGTGTCTTTGTTCTATCAGATTTAAAAAAGAATATAGTTTGATAGAAAGAAAGTCATACACTTTTAGTAATCGAAGACATATCATGATAAAATTACTTATTTGATATTTATTTTGACCCTAAATTAACCCCTAATAACTCATAGAAGAAACCATAAATTGCAGCTGTAATTCTTTTTTAATGAGAATGTCAAAACTTACAAACATACTTCGGTTTTAATCATCATCTGAGCTATTTTATCTTCAACCTACAGTAGATAGCTAATTAGATAAATTTTTTGGTCTACGTTTAATAATCAGCTGTTAGAGTACAAACGAATAATGAAAAATGTTACATTTTGATGTGGCTGAATGGGAACAATTTCAGAAGATCAGTTTTAAAATCCTGATATCATTACAATACTAGACAGTTGGTTATTTTATCCACTAGAGATATTGCTTAGTAATTATCATCAAGATAAAGAAAAGAAAAGATCCTATTAACAATCATGATTAAAAATGTAACATAAAAAATACAAAACACATTTCTAGCAATATGAATGGCTTTAACTCACTAAGGGTTAAGTTAATAAAGAAATTCAGTTTATTGATAGCAAAATTTATAGAATTTATGCAGATCGAATCTTATCGATCAAGTTGCAATGTGGCTACTTGTCCAGGTGACTCGACATTGCGTGCACTATGTTGAGATAAGATAATGGTTGGATGTAGTCAACAGGAAACTCTGAATCTAGGTTTCATGTGCACACTGATCACCAACCAGTGATCAATCAATTGTAAATATATCTCACTCGGACAAAATCTCAGTTACGGTCCGGATAGCTCGGTGGTAACATTTTTGTTTGTGAAACTGCGTAACACGGGATCGAGTCCGTCACGGAGCACCAGTTCCCTCAAGATTACTGGTGCACCTTGCTACCGAGGTCTAGGGTTTCTTGTTGACTACCTCCAACCACCATCTTATTCCAGTATTTATTAAGATTCTTTAAAAGATATTCAGTTCCAGATAATTCGTATTTCACAATGAAAACTAATTATTTTACTCTGGAGTTGTGTACTATTGTTTAAGAATACTTGATGCTTTCATTGCAATTCAGTAGGAAATATTTTATTCTTTCTTTACATATAACATGCAATCATAATACATGACTAATATAGGAAGAAAGAAGTTGTCAACTTTCAAATGATCAAGAATAATATCATTCAACGGAATGATTGGAGTTTAGTCAAAAAAAGTTATAGAAATATTCCTGAATCAAAAGTGACCTAGTGGTTAAGAGCTTGCGCACGAGACTGATAGGTCCTGGGTTTGAATCTCGCGAGGCGGGATAGTGGCTACTGAGGAGTCCAACGATAGGACGAAACGGCCGTCCAGTGCTTTCAGGTTTTCCATGGTGGTTTAGCTTCAATTGTCTTATGATCTCAACCATTGAAAAGTTTATCTGTTTGAATTTAAATTTGGTATTTTAAATCAAATTTACTCTAAAATATACTACTTATTAGATATTGTTATTCATGAATTTTTAAACTTTTTTTCTTATTTTAGGCACCAGGTAATATGGGTCTTTGGGATCAACGTTTAGCTATGAAATGGATTAAAGATCATATTGAAAATTTCGGCGGTGATCCACATCGTATCACTCTTTTTGGTGAATCAGCTGGAGCTGTAAGCGTGAGTACACATGTCGTCAGTCCATGGTCTCATTCATATTATAACAATGCAATAATGCAATCTGGTTCAATTTTTAGCAACTGGGGTCTTGCAACTAGTGAAGTATCACTAAATCAAACACAAAGGTATATTTCATGCATATAATTTCCTTTATTACATTAATGAGAGCACTAACGAAGATTGGTGCAGAGTAATGACTGGATTTATCTCATTTCGTTAGGTTCTCATCAGCTGCTTACAACCTATTTATTATTTATTATTATTATTAGCTTTATTCAATATTATAATTTTGGTACAATATAGAATTCTCAGCGCAAAGTATTTCAACAAGTTTCCGTTTCTTTCTTCTTGGTCGGTCCTGGCGATAAATATTGAGGGATCGCCAGTTAGATGTTAGCACTTCAGTGAATGAACAACTGAATAATGTGCATTCTTTTCGTTGTATATTTCCAGCAATCACATTGTCTATGATTGAGTTTTTTGTAACTTTGACAACTAAAGGTTGTACACTTTTCAGAAACGCAGCAGAATAGGCTATGCGATTAATAAACATAATGATATATTAAAACAAACAAAAATAGATAACTTGTTGAAATATCTAGATGACAGGAACAGGTAGCCCAGATGCTCAAGCAGGCCGCCCTTGTCGTATAATATTTAAAATCAACGTTAGTACATATATTGACATGTTTATATATAAAAGGGTGGTTAAAGATGAATATGCGTTACATGATGTAACGAAGATTCCGATAGAGTCAACAAAGTCAGAAAAAACATTTTGTTTCGGATAAATAAAGTTTGGGAGGGAAAGTTCCAGAACATTGAAATAGTAATTAGAAATCATGGAGTTAACAAACATTAAATGATTATTTAATGAGGCAACTGAAAATAGATTATAGGGTGGTCAGTATTCAATATAATCCTTAAACTTCGTATACAGTTCCTCTTGATAACCGTCACTAGATAACGCCTCAACGGTATATTAATCAAAAGGCGAATACGAAATATTCATTACGTTTATTACGGGACCACACACAGATATCCAAAATTACAGATGCGTTAAAGAAGCATACAGGAATTGGGCCGAAAGGCAAGCAGGCAAGCGAGTAAGTCAGCGAATATGAGTACGAGTAAGCGAGAGAGAGAGAGCAATGAACATGAATATCATGGACATATATATACATAGTGAAATGAATGAATCATCGAATCAATTAAGGGGTTAATAGTAAGGCTAGCAGCGTGAATAAATGCGTAGGCAGTAAGCAATGCTCAAGCATACATGTTCATACATTTGCAACAATAATTAAGATACAATGATATAGATAAGTTGTTGTTGTTGTACGGATGACTCAGTTCGTTAATCAGTTAACAAAATGATTTAACCGAATCAAATGTGAACAAACTCAATTGAACGTCAGTTGCTATAAGATTGATGGTAATAAAGAGTGATATGAATTGAGATCAGTCAATTATGAATTAAAGAGAAATGACAATGATGTAATTTAAACTTTCGAAAGAGTTGAAATAATGAATGACGTAATCAATAAAGAAAGGGGGAGGGTAATGTTACCAGTGTAAAGAAAGATTTATTATTGTTTATTTTTAGATACATAGATCTGATTTCAGACATTTGACTGTGATGACTTCGGCGAATTTCAAAAGATTAGAGTTTGATTGTTTATTAATCGTCTTGAAACACTTTAGTGTATCGACTTCATGTCCTATGTCAAGGAGATGTCTTACAACGAAACTCCTGAATACTTTTAATCTATTTGATCTTAAACTTTTCGGAATATCTTCTTCGAATTGGACTTAGGCTCTCCTTTCTATTCTATCCATGTAATTACTTTAGCAGATACATGTAAATGTATACACACAGTTTTTTTCCTCTCTAAATATTATTATAGACTTGCAAAAATTCTTGGCTGTGGATATCGATCATCAATGGATCAAATTAAATGTTTACGATCAAAATCAATTAAAGAAATATTAGATGCACATGATACAATGTATGATCCAGCTAGTTATTTCTCTGTACCATTTCCACCTGTATTAGATAATAATTTTTTTCCATATGAGAATAGTCAATCATTTCGTCAATTAAAATATCTTAAACCATCCGGTGCTTTAATGTTTGGTATTAATAAAAATGAAGGTAGTTATTTTCTGTTATATGCATTTGTATCTAATTCAAAATGGATGAAAAATTTAACTGATTTACCAATTACAAATCGTATGGATTATTTAAGATGTCTTCGACAAGTTCTAGATCTTGATGATGATGATCGACCAGAATTTACAGAACCATTAATACGTTATACAGATTTTGAATATCAAACATATCAACAATTGGTAAGTTATATTATCAATATGTAAAGTGATTATATTTTCATGAAGCTTTCTTATCTGAGCTGGATAATTTGGTCGAGGAGCTTTCATCGTTCTTCTGAACGATGTCATCATGTTATCGTTTCCATTTGAGCTACAAATCGTTTACATCATCTCGTAAAATATTTTAATCAATTAAAGATTACTAGTTCAAAATTTTTTTTAAAAATGTAATGTCAGTTCAACTAGATTTCAATTTCATTTCATTACTTATTTACACCTGTTACTTCCGTGTGGAAACAAAGCCCGTCCACCAGGATTCTTCATCAAACGTTGTCTTGGAAAATCCTTTCCAGTTCTTTCCAGTTGCTACTCATCCCTTTGATGTCTAATTCCAATTCTCGACACAGTGCTATTTGGTCTTCCTCATTTCAGTTAACCTTCAGGATTTCAAACTATGGCTTGCTTCGTGATACAGTTTAATGGTTACCCTAATGTATGTCGTATCCACTTCCAACAACTTTTCCTAATTCCCTCTTCAGCTGGAAAGTGGTTTGTTCTTTCCCACAGTGAGCTGTTGCTGATGGTATCCGACCAACAGACATTGAGTATCTTGCGTAGAGAATTGTTTATAAATACATATGCCTTTTTGATGAATGTAGTAGTAGTTGTTGAAGTTTCAGCTTGCTAAAGTAGAACTATCTCGACGTTCGTGTTGAACATCGTGATTTTGATATGGGTTGACAGTTGTTGTAAGTTCCATGTATTGTTCAACTGCAGGAATGTCGTTCTTACTTCGCCAATCCTTGCCTTTAAATCTGTATCACAACCTCCTTGTTCATAGATGATGCTGACCATGTCATGTACCGAAAGTTTCCAGCTATTTCAGAGTTTCTCCATCAAGTGTAATTGTGTAGCTGTTGCATTTGAAGAGGTTGATTTGACCCCGTTGTATGTTGAGGCTTACTGATATAGAGGATTTTGCTGCTACACTGGTTGTCTTGACCCACATTTGTTGGTGTGTATGGGATAAAAGAACTATATTATCTGTGAAGTCTAAATCAGTTAGTTGCATCCAAGCTGTTCATTGTATTCCTTGCTTTGCCTGAGATGTGGTAGTCTTAATAATTTATGGGATCCCCATCCTATAATCGCTTTCCGTTCTTCTTTAAATAGCTTTCACGCAACTTCTTATGGTTACGAAGCGTGTTCTTCTTCAATATCAGAGTACAACAGCACCTAGCCGGAACTTAATCTTTTCTGCCTAGATTGGATCCAATGGATTTCACTGATTTCGAGCACCGTCAAATTGCATCTCTTCGTTGCCATAACAATTTGATTGCTCCTCCCGGTCTCCCACGTTGTCTGTACATCTCATCGGCCCCGTGAATTCTGAAGGATTTCGGCTCTCACCATTAGGAGCCATAACTCTTCTGCATCAAGATACTTTTACACAGAGGGCATAGTTTAAATGTTTCGAATGACTTTTTTCTGGTCAGCGTTTCTTGACAAGGTTTTCTATGTAATGTGTTTGCTAATCCCATGCCCGACCCTCCCCCTTTGTTTGTGCATGGGATAGGCAGTATCCGTTTGATGGCTCTGGTCGACCTCATAGTCAAGATAGTTTTGTGTTCTTGAAATTCTAAATTTAAAAAATCACCTACGTTTATCTGAATTTCAGTGTTATTTTGAGAAACCACAGTTATTTCTATATCGCTTTGTTAAATATACAAGCTTTTCGTTTCAACTGATGGAATAACTCTGTGGTGTTATATTTATATCATTTTAAAATTATTACTACTATTTCACCATTCCGATTATGGATACCAATTTTCTATATCCTAACTAATAATCACAATTCGAAATGAAAAAATACAGTGTCTTTATTAGATAGTGTGATTCCGTTCTAGGAGTCAAGGCGAGTAAATGGAAAATTTCAGATTCCTTAATCGGATCAGTCAGACAAGTCGTAAAACCTGTTAAGTATGCACATCAGTTCAATTTGCCATACCCCATCAGCACAGAAAGATGAAAAAGTCAGGACAAATCCCAGAATTGTTGAGGTGGTAACAGTGGAAAGACGAGGTCTAAAAGTTACGATTCGGTAAGAAAATATAAATTAGTAAAATTAAAACACGAAAAAAGGACATTTTAAGGGATTCATTGGCTCCGAATTTGAGAAAGGACAAAGATTGGATGTATCTGAGCCATTATGAACGATTATGAACACGATTATGTCTATGAATCTTTGGTAGGCCATACGTATGCAATAAATGAGATCTTACTTACTTACTTACTTACTTACATACGCCTGTTACTCCTCGTGAAGGAGCATAGGCCGCTCACCAGCGTTCTCCATCCAACCCTGTCCTGGGCAATCCTTTCTAGCTCCGTCCAGTTGTAATTCATCCTTTTCATATCTGCTTCTATTATCCGACGCAATGTGTTCTTTGGCCTTCCTCTTTTTCGCTTCCCTTCAGGATTCCAAGTTAGGGCTTGCCTCGTGATGCAGTTCGACGATTTGCGTAATGTATGTCCTATCCATTTCCATCGTCTTTCCCTAATTTCTTCTTCAGCTGGAAGTTGGTTTGTTCTCTCCCACAGAAGGCTGTTGCTGATGGTATCCGGCCAATGGATGTTGAGTATCTTGCGTAGACAGCTATTTATAAATACTTGTACTTTCTTGATTGTGGTTGTTGTAGTTCTCCAAGTTTCAGCTCCATACAGTAGAACTGCCTTGACGTTCGTATTGAAGATTCTCACTTTGATATTGGTTGAAAGTTGTTTTGAGTTCCATATGTTCTTCAATTGTAGGAATGCGACCCTTGCTTTGCCGATCCTCGCCTTTACGTCTGCATCGGATCCTCCTTGTTCATCGATGATACTTCCCAGGTATGTGAAGGACTCTACATCTTCCAGAGTCTCGCCAACAAGTGTGATTGGATTGCTGTTCTCCGCTTTGAATTTGAGGACCTTAGTTTTCCCTTTGTGTATGCTGAGGCCTACTGATGCAGAGACTGCTGCTGCACTGGCTGTCTTCATCTGCATCTGTTCATGTGTACGTGATAGGAGGGCTAGGTCATCTGCGAAGTCCAAATCGTCTAATTGGTTCTGAGCTGTCCATTGTATTCCGTGTTTTCCTTCAGATGTTGAGGTCTTCATAATCCAGTCGACCACCAGAAGAAAGAGGAAGGGAGAGAGTAAACAGCCTTGTCTGACTCCGGTCCTTACTTGGAATGCATCTGTCAGCTGTCCTCCATGCACTACTTTGCACTGTAGTCCGTCGTATGAGTTCCGGATAATATTGACAATCTTCTCAGGAATTCCGTAGTGTCGAAGAAGTTTCCATAACGTCCTCCTGTCTACACTGTCGAATGCCTTCTCATAATCAATGAAATTGATGTATAGTGATGAGTTCCACTCAACTGATTGTTCGACGATGATCCGTAGTGTTGCAATTTGGTCTGTGCACGACCGATCCTTACGGAATCGAGCTTGTTGATCTCGAAGTTGGGCGTCTACTGCACCCTTCATCCGGTTCAGCAACAATCTGTTGAAGACTTTCCCTGGTATTGACAGTAGTGTTATGCCTCTGTAGTTTTCACATTTGCTCAGATCTCCTTTCTTTGGAATCTTGACGAGGTGTCCTTCTTTCCAGTCCATTGGCACTTGTTCCTCATCCCAAATCTTTTTGAATAGAAGATAAAGCATACTTGTGGTTGTTTCGATGTCTGATTTCAGTGCTTCAGCTGGTATGTTGTCGGGTCCTGCTGCTTTCCCGTTCTTGATTTGTCTGACGGCCATTCTAATTTCTTCGGTGGTTGGTGGATTGACATCTATAGGAAGATCTATGTGTGCTGCTTCGATGTCCGGTGGATTCATTGGAGCCGGCCTATTCAGGAGTTCCTCGAAGTATTCTACCCATCTGTTTCGCTGTTGTTGAATTTCAGTGATTGGCTTGCCTTCTTTGTCTTTGACCGGCCTCTCTGGTTTACTGTATTTCCCTGATAGTTTCTTCGTTGTATCGTAGAGCTGTTTCATAATTCCTTCTCTAGCAGCTTTTTCTGCCGTCGTTGCTAGTTCTTCCACGTATTTCTTCTTGTCGGCTCTAATGCTCCTCTTCACTTGTTTGTTTGCTTCTATGTATTCAGCTTGTGCTTGGACTTTCTCTGCTCGTGTTCGGCTGTTGTTTATTGCTGCCTTCTTGTTCTTCCTTTCTTTGATCTTGTCCAGTGTTTCTATAGAGATCCATTCCTTATGATGGTATTTCTTTAGACCGAGAACCTCTTGACACGTTGAAGTTAATGCTTCCTTGATGCCTTTCCAGTTGTCCTCCATAGTAGTTTCTTCTTCTTTCAGTAGATCTCGTAAGGCTTGGAACCTGTTGTTGAGAGCTATCTTGAATTCATTGAGTTTGACAGTATCTCGAAGGAAGGCTGTATTGAACCTTTGTATTGCTGTTTGTCCACTTGTCCAGTTCCTTTTTAGCTTCAGTTTCAAATTGGCTACAACTAGGTGGTGATCTGAAGCTACGTCAGCTCCTCTCCTGGTTCTCACATCTTCCATTGTCCTTCGGAATTTTTTGTTGATGCAAATATGATCTATTTGGTTCTCTGTAGTGTGGTCCGGTGAGATCCATGTAGCCTTGTGTATACGCTTGTGTGGAAATATTGTGCCTCCTATGACCAATTTGTTGAATGCACATAGATTTGCAAATCTTTCTCCATTTTCGTTTCTTTCTCCCAGTCCATGTCGTCCCATAATATCTTCATATCCAGTGTTGTCTATTCCGACTTTGGCATTTAGATCTCCCATTAGAATGGTGAGGTCCTTTCTTGGGCATTTCTCTATCACTGACTGCAGCCGCTCGTAGAATTGATCTTTAATGTCGTCGTTGCTATCATTGGTGGGTGCATAACATTGGATAATATTCATTAAGATCCCCTCCTTCTTTGTTTTGAATGATGCTTTGATGATTCTGGATCCGTGGGATTCCCATCCTACAAGTGCATTTAGTGCTACTTTGGACAGCATAAGACCGACTCCCTGAGTGTGTGGAGCATTGTCCTCTTCGTGACCGGAGTATAGCAGCATCTCTCCCGTAGCTAGCCTTTTCTGTCCAGCTTGGGTCCAGTGGGTTTCGCTGATTCCCAGTACTGCTAAGTTGTATCTCCTCATTTCCATTGATATTTGACTGGTCTTCCCGGTTTCCCACATTGTTCGAACGTTCCATGTACCTATAAAAATTTTTGCTCTGGTTGTTAGAAGGGGCATCGGCCTCGTGGCTTCCGAAGGAATTCGGCTTTCACCATGAAGCGTCACAATTCTTCTAAATGAAGACCTTCTAACTCCCAGGGCAGAGTTAAAATGGTTTGGATTATTTTTTCTGGTAAGCGTTTTTTTAGCGAGTTAGTTTTCTACGGGATGGGGACGCTAACCCCATGCCCAACCCTCCTCCTTTACCCAGGCTTGGGACCGGCAGCAACCCTATAAGAGCTACAGGCGGAGTTAAATGAGATCTACGAGGTCTTAAATCATTATAGTTAGAGTAATTAATAATTTTCTTCTCCAATAGCTCCCTGCGTATACTCGTGGTTCGTCTATCTGTTTAGTCAGTTAAGTCTTCGTTATATCTATTAGCCTTGACCCAAAATTGTTGCATAAAGTGGACTTTATTCTAGTAATATAATTGAATGTGTGCATTAGTACAACATCTGAGCCCTCGACTGGTCGTAATATCATTCACACACTGACCAGAACTTACCCTGTAGCCAAGCTGATTATCGTGTATAAAACAATATGTTCTGTACTCCAAACAAAGATTGATAAGTGCCCCTTCCATGTTACCGCTAATTGTGTTTACAAACTTACATGTACCTGCCAAACCAGTTACATTGATAGAACAGTAGGAAGGGCCCACGTTTGATTTCAAGAACATATCCCAAAAAGGTCTCAGGTCAATGTAATTCAGGGCTCTTAAACAGTGCTATCGCAAAACATCTCTGTACACAGGATATCTGGTTGACAGACAGCACCACCAATCGACATTCGAGTTCCGTTCTTCTTAAATTCTCCGAAGCCATAGCCGTCAAACGACTTACGGTGAACTTATGTGTCCAAAAAGAAACAGTTACAAATCTATCCTTACCATATAGACTTTCTCGTCAGTTTATTACATTGGTTTTGTAATTCTCTTCTGTTCACACTCTCTATATTTTACTTCAATCTCATCACTTTCTTTGAAGTCATAACCTTATTTACTTTTAAACTAACTGATCTCAACTCATGTTATTCTTAATTTTAATAGTTGAGTCATTTGAAGTTAAATCACCATGGAAAACCTGGAAGCATTGGACGGCCATTTCGTTATGTTGTGGGACTCCTCAGCAATGCGCATCCACGATCCCACCTCGCCAGATTTGAACCTAGGACCTATCGGTCTCGCGTGCGAAGGCTTAAATGCTAGACCACTGAGCCGGCATTCAACGTTGTTTCTGTCCAACTTCAACCAATCCACGAAACTGAAATTCAATTGACTCATGAACTCAACTATTAAATTACTATAATATGAACACAAGACGTTTCTGAGAATAATAAGTAGGTGGTATTTCATTCGCTTGATTTATAAGACCAAGTTAACAGTCTATTGTGCTCACTGTTTATAACTTTCAGTGTTAGATTAAAGTTATGTAGCTTATGGAGTTGAAGCAGTCTACTTCTAACCTTGAACTGGAACGTTTGAATTTCTTTAATCTTTATTTGTTTTGGACACTAGCATAGTTTCAACTCTCATTTGAATGGATTGGATCAAAGTCCATTACATAATTATGTATCCGGGATGTAATTTTTGTTGAGAATTCAAACGACATTTATAGCAATTCCACTCATGTTGTTCTTCATTGGTTGAAGTTAGACATTACCATCATTTGATGCCAGATTAGGGGACTAGAGGTTAAGCTTTCGCGCGCGAGACCGATAGGTCCTGGGTTCAAATCTGGAGGATCGAGATCGTGGATGAGCACTGCTGAGGAGTCCCGCACTAGAACGAAACGGCCATCCAATGCTCCCTGGTTTTTCATGGTGGACTAGCTTCAATTGACTCGTGAATTCAACTATAAAATTACTAAAATTTCTGATGATGATAAATATATTTATTGTGAGGCAGTAAAATCATAAGACTTGTTTAAATTGAGAAGATCTGTTTAATTTTATTTCATAATTTATTTTCCTCATAGCCTACCCTTGAAAGTTGGACTGAAAGACTAGAAGAAATCAGTAGTGATAGAAGTTTCAAATGTCCTACGATCAATATGGCAACTGCAGTAACTAATGATTATCGTATACCAGGTCGACGTCGTGCTCATACGCTTCCTGTATATTTTTATGAATTTCAACATAGAACACTTTCATTACCAATGCCTAAATGGACTGGTACAATGCATGGTTATGAAATTGAATATGTTTTTGGTATTCCATTTAGTCCTCAGTTTCAAGCTAGCTTTTATCGATTCACTGATGAAGAACGTCAACTCAGTGATATTATGATGACGTATTGGGCTAACTTTGCACGCACAGGGTAAGTTGATTCGAAGAACTATGTTTGCTTGTTGAAAAAGTTCAGGACTAAATTTCATTTAACAAAACTTTACTTTGATTAAGATATACACTATGTGGTGGTTGGAGGTAGTCAACAAGAAACCCTGGACTTAGGGTTTTTGTTATTTAGAACCCGTTTCAGCAAGGCATACATGTAATCTTGAGGGAACTGATGCTTCTTGATGGATTCGATCCCGTGTCACTCGGCTTCACAACATAGAGCATGCGATGTCGCGCCACCTAGCCTAGTGGCTACGTTGCAGTTTGATCAATAAAATTCGACCTACACTAAGAAGGACATAGCACACAAAACGTTAGTCACTACCTAGGGATCAATCAATTGTAAAGATGTGCACTCTTGATACATGTAGTTTTTCAATTTTAGCCCTCCAGTAATGTTTATGTTCCACTTATTTCCTGACTATACTACCATTTCTATTTCCTAAATATATTCTGAGGATCATTTTCGCTTAAAAAACTGTCAACTTGTGCATGTTTCCACATTGAATGACTAGTTTGAATACAAATATCGAAGCAGAGTATTTGCTTAAACTATTGTAAAATCAGTAGTAAACAACTATATTGTTTCGCCGTACACTGTCATTATTGCAATACTCACATCGGTTGGTTGACTAATATTTTAGCTAAAATCTGGAAACTGGACGTAATCCCATCTGATTGGTCGTAATCATTCATTGTCCCAATATATATAGGAGAGGGTCAAAATCATCCTGCGACAACCATAGAGGGATTAGTTTAACCAAAATAGCATCTAAAATACTGGCCTCAATGATAATCGGACACCTAACAAAGACTCATGAACTGCAAACATGAGAAAATCAGACTGGCTTCAGACCTGGTCGTGGCTGCATCGACCGCATATTCACCATTTGTCAGATCTTAGAACACAGGCATGCTTATCAGCGCCCGACAATGATAGTTTTTCTTGACTTAAAAGCAGCATTTGGCTCTGTAGACCGATAGGTTTTTTAGTAGTGTCTATCATTCAAAAGGTTTGAATTTTTTTCTGGCTAACGTTTTTTAGTGAGTTATTTTTCCACAGGGTGGGGTCGCCAACCCCACGCCCAACCCTCCTTTATCCGGGCTTGGAATCGGCAGTAGCCCCCGGGGGGACTCTAGGCGGAGTTTTGGGTAACATTATTGATGAACATGGTGGATCTGATGCGGATGTGAAAGCGCGGATCGGTAAAGCAAGAGTAGTATATTTACAACTGAGGAACATCTGGAGCTCAAAACAACTTTCTGTCAACCAACACTAGGGTCAGGATTTTCAATACAAATGTCAGGAGAGTTCTACTATATGAGGCGGAAACCTGGACAACTACGAAAGCCATCGTCCAGAAGATACAAGTGCTCATTAACAGCTGTCTACGCAAAATACTTCAGATCCATTGGCCGGACACTATTAGCAACAACCAACTGTAGGAGAGAACAAACCATATCCCAGCGGAGAAAGAAATTAGGAAGAAGCGCTGGAAATGGATAGGACACACATTGAGGAAAGCACCCAACTGTGTCACAAGACAAGCTCTCATATGGAATTTTCAAGGCCAAAGTAAAAGAGAAAGACGAAAGAACACATTACGCCGGGAAATAGAGATAGACATGAGAAAAATGAACAAGAATTGGATGGAACTAGAAAAGAAGGCCCAGGACAGAGTGTGTTATAGAATGCTGGTCGGCGGCCTATGCTCCATTAGAAGTAACAGGCGTAAGTAAGTAAGTAACCATTCAAAGGTGTACATAAACCTTATAAAGGCTCTTTACTCGAACACTAACAGTCGAGTCAGAGTCTATAGCAAAAGGTCATCTGATTTCGCAACCTTAAGTGGTGTTCGGCTACGCTGTCCACTACCTCCAATTTTGTCTAACTTCATCATAGGCCTGCTGCTGAAAATAGTGCTCTTGTCGACTGAATTTTCGGGCTGTCTGATCAGCCGCAATAGGTTGGTGTATGGTGAAATCTCTTCACGGATTCAGAAAGCTCACTTGGCTCTTACCAACTTACGTCACCTCTGGTAAAAGTGAGATATTCATCTATCAATTAAGGGATGATTGTACTGCGCGGCAGTTTGTTCTGTTCTTCTTTCCGGATACGACACCTGGCCATTAAGAGTAGAAGATACTCGCAAGCCACTAGTATTTGACCACATATGCCTTAGAAATATTGCTCCCATCTGCTAGCATCACTAAGCAAGTAATAGTGAGGTTAGATTCAGACTTGAGGTTGTAAATCTTCATCGACTGAGATGGTTGAGCCACGTGTTACGTATGCCTGAACACCGATTACCACGTCGTGCAATGGTAACGGGTGTTAGAGATGGTTGGAAGAGAATTAGGGGCGGCCAAACCAAAACGTGGCATCAGTGCTTGAAGACACTAACCGCTAGTCTAAGCCATGTTGGTAGATGCAGACCATCGTAACCAATGGTTGGAGACCCTGTGAGACATGGTTCAGAATCGATCACAATAGCGTCGGTGTATACACTCTTTGTGTTCCCTTAAACCGTCAGATTAAAATGACACACCTTTATGCTTACGAACTAGTTCTTTCTCCATGTATCATATCGTTATGCACAATCTTCCTTTTATATCTTACTACCACTGAAGTAATTACTTCTATGAATTTGGTGTTCACCTTGCTGTGCTAATGTGGTATGGCAACTTTGATCAATTCATTTATGTTCCTTGTCCCACGTGGTATCTGATGCTCATTTTCGTAAATCTACATCCTCATTTTATGTAATTTAATAGTTAACCCATATTAGTTTTTATTTTATTTCGAAAGCAATAGTTTTGTTGCAGTTTCATAAGCGGATCTCATATTGTCGGCTTTCAATAATTGGTATTAAATTTTTGTTTAAAGGGATCCTAATATTTTACCAGATGGTCGACACGTGACTGATAATGTAAATCCAGAAGATCCAGATGAAATAACTGGAGGTGAGTTAGAAGATTCACTGAATCATAAACAAGGGCGTAAAAATCCATTCATTGGATGGCCTGAATTTCGAAATAGTACAAAGGCCTACATCGTTTTTCGTTCAGCTCCGGCAAACCTTCTCGTTAGCACAAGACCACGTCACCGTCAATGCTTGTTTTGGCGTCGTTGGTATCCGGCGTTACTACAACAAGGTGATTTAGTTATTAAAGTATTCTATTTATCTCTATAGTACTATTTAATTGTTCTTGCAATATTCTAGTCTTAAAATATCAGAATTACATATAATTTAGTTGGAAATTATGCTGAAGACATATTAATACAGTATAACAAGGATGTAAATAAATTTAACTGACTGAACATTGTAAATATAGAGCTTGTGTGAAAGAACACTCTACAACATCGATTGTGATAAGAGTTAAAACGGTTAGAAACAAGTGATTACATAATGAGTCAACATTGATATGTATAAAATGAGTAGAACTCAGTTAATAAAATAAGATTACTTACTTACTTATGCATGATACTACCAATGGAGCATAGAAATCTGGAAGGTAGTTGAAATAAAACTCAATGATGCAATAAATGCAAGAAAGAGTTAAAGAAAGAAGCTTAAGATTCAACGACGGAATATTTGTCACCAAGGCAAGGAATGATTGATAACCGTCTCCTTATGAACACATAAATCAGGTTTTTGATGTCTGATAGTAACGGCTTCAGCAAAACTTCAGAAGACTGTAATTTGATTGTTTATTAACTGCCATGAAAGACTGCAAGGTATCGACCTGATATTCTATATCCAAGAGATGTTTGTTGATTGCATTGTTTAGTCTTTCTTTCTTTTGTTTTGGGGCTTTTTGGGATATGCTCAAAAAATTTAAAATATGCTCTTCTTTCTGTTTGGTCAATGTAGCTTCTTTGTCAGGTACATGTAAATTTATAAACACAGTTGGCGGTAATATGAAAGGGGTGCTTGTCGACCTTTGATTGGGTTATTGTTGTTTTATACAGAATTAATAGTTCGGCTGCGGGATAAGTTCTGGTTAGTGCAGTATTCAGTTTCCTGCTGATTGTGTTTACGACATTATCACTTTTGAAGTTGAGATTCACAGATATGGGTTTTTATTGACCATAACCACTTCTGTCCTATTTTCTTTAGGTTTTTATATTCATGATCACGTTTATGTCGGTAGCAGTTGTTTCTTAGACATTTTTCAACGTTGATCAATTCTTCCAGTTTGTCGGTGGTACATATCCTCTTTACCTCATAAGATAGTGTTTTGACCAGTGTCTTTTTGTAACTGACTGAACAAAAACAATTGAAATCCAGATACTTTTTTTTGACCAACCAACCGTTGAACTGTCTCGTCTCCTCTACGTTTTATGGCAATAACAAGAAAGTGGAACATGTCATTCTATTTGTGTTCCATCCAGTGCTTCCAGTTTTTCCATGTTGGTATATCTTCCATTAACTCATGATCTCAACTATAGAAATTGCTATAATATGCACAAATCCCCTCTCTTATTATCTACATATGATAAACAATTCAATCTATCAATCTTGATTTTGATTGGTTGTTGTTGACCTTAGACTTGTCATGGTTGGGATATTGATTTGTTCAGGTTCCAATTACTCACAGAATATTTTGAGTTTAAAATTGTTTTCAATAACTTTATCATCAGATTCTGTATCACTAAGTCCATAATTATTGTGCAAACTACGAAATTTAACAAACTGCATTTGACTATTTATACAGACCATTGTAGCGAATAAATAAACATTTACCTGACGTGATATTAATACATCATATTCTAAACACCAAACATTCGAAACTGTAGCACATAGTATTTTATGATAATAACAACATCAACTGAGTGATATAACATTGTATATCATCTACTTGGATTCCTATGCGGTCAAACCACACTACTAAATTGTTCATTTCATATATTAAAGATTCTAGACGTTATTCAGTTTCCATAAGAACAAGTAAGATGGTAAATTACTCAGTTTTTGTGTGAATACCTCTACAGTACTATGAATGGCTAGGATTAACGTAGCTCATCTGATTGTTTAATTTCGCTAGTAGAAGCTAACGGTAACCTATACATTGTTTATCAATATAATATCCATTCACATTATTATATTTTTTTCTGTCATTAATTTTCAGTTGAGCGCAATCGCCAGCATTGTTTAGGTGTGTAAAATTCAATACACTGGTGAATTACTAACTACAGGTATCATCTAATATCAACAGAGATGAAAATGAATAACAGTTAACAAGTGTTTCGTAAGAATATTAAATATAATAATTGATTAGTATATCATAAATTGAGTGTGTTTTTTGTACCGCTACTGCTCAGGAAAATGATTAAACCTTGCTAAACAAATATTACTTACTTAATTACACGTGTTACTCCTCGTAGAGGAGCATAGGCTGCCTACCAGCACTCTTCATCAAACCCTGCCATGGGCTATCTTTTCCAGTTGTTACTCATCCTTTTCAAATCTGCTTCTATTTCCCGACGTAATGTGTCCCTTGGCCTTCCTCTTTTTCGCTTCCCTTCAGGATTCTAAGATAGGGCTTGTCTTGTGGTGCAGTTTGGTGATTTCGGTAATGCATGTCCTATCCACCAACTCCATCATCTTTTCCTAATTTGGTTTGTCCTCTCCCACATAAGGCTGTTGCTGATTGTATCCGGCCAAAGGATGTTGAGTATCTTGCATAGACAACTATTTATAAATATTGTATTCAATCTGAAGCTTATTATGTTTAGTTGATAATTGTGCACTATCTTAATTATACGAGTAGGATCATTTCAAAATTGTATGAACTAGACTCTGTGCTTAAGGTTAAATAAATAAGAAAGTTATTATTAAAAGAAATTAGCGTCCTAAGTATTAAAAGGAATACGTATCAGTTTTAGATATGTCTTGCAAGTAGTTCCCTCAATCCTTCCAAAGCCCCTCTTGGGTTACTGCCGCTTCCAAGCCCGGATAAAAAAGTAGGGTTGGGCATGGGGTTAGCGACCCCATCCCGTAGAAATTTAACTCGCTAAAAATACACTAACCAGAAAAAAATAATTCAACAAGTATCAGAAGGGGCTTTGTGGAGATTGTAGTAATTTCAACAGGTAGACCATGTTCTAGATTCAATAAGTATTTCCCAGGTATTTCTGTTGATTTTATCCGTTACTGTGGTGTTTGTGATAATTGGTTAAATTAAGCAGTAAAATCAATGTATACCTTCAAACTTTAGTTTTCACGACATGAATAATTGTTTAAACATTTTTTACGGCAAACTACTCTTTTAAACAATAGAATAATGATGCCATCAGAGATATGATTTCTTGATTAATAACAGCTGGAATCTAGTGTTTATATGGATGTTTATTGTTATGAAGGTTTCCATACAGCTTAATTTGAAATGTATCACTGAACATCCTTAAAATATGGTGATGGAAACAAATTAGTTGTTGACCTGATCCTCAGAGTAATGATAAAGTCGACGGATTACATGGAGTCTTAGATAAAGATAATTGTGATTTAATCACATATGACACTGGTTACCAAGTTAAAAATTAATAATACACTCTCTTAATATCTTATTTTGGAGAAGCAATCTATATGGCATCCAATGAAAAGGACGGTTACTAAACGGAGGAATGGGACGGCTAGCGATTATACAGGGGGAACATCAATAAAGATAACCATCAAAAATGTGCATATTGCTGGGGGTGAACATCAAAAGACAATGTAGTAGTAAATAAATCCCCAAAATAAATAGCTCTGTAAGTCTTTGATATTGGATGCTGATCACATTAGTTTTAATGGACTCACCTATCTGAAGGCGCTCGGTTATGCATCCGCACCAGATCACGAGTGGGAACGTCGTGATCAACATCCCCTGCAATATCTAGCCAGTTTAGATCAGTCGATCCTATATATATCGATGACTTATCAAATATATCTTCGAACCCTGTCGCTTCTGACTTTTGATTTCACTTGATGGGTACGGTGTTACTAGTCAAAGCGTTGTCAAACTACAAATACCTGTAACATCAACAGAATCAAATTTTTAGTGACATAAAATCAGATTCCTTTGTTCTTTATCCCTTTGCCTTTGAGATCCATCAGGAATTCAGTTCACTAAACATCTAATAGACATCCCTTATTACTTCCCTACGCCAGTCAACCCTCATGGAGGAGCATATGTCATCGACCAGAACTCTCCATATAAATACCTGTGCTTTTTTGATGACGGTTGTAGTAGTTGTTGAAGTTTCAGCTTTGTACAGTAGAGCTATCTCGACGTTCGTGTTGAAGATTATGACTTTGATATTGGTTGACAGTTGTTGTAAGTTCTATATGCCGTTCAACTAGAAGAATACTGCCCTCACTTTGCCAATCCTCACCTTTACGTCTTCATCAAATCCTTTTCGTTCATCTATGATGAAAGATTCCAAATCATCTTCATCAAGTGTGAATGGTTTGTTAGGTGTTCTCTGTGTTGTATTTGAGGATGTCAGTTTTTCTCTTGTGTACGCTGAGGACCACTGAAGCAGAGGCTTCTGCTACACTAATTATCTTTGTCTGCATTTGTTGGTGTCTATGGGATAGAAGGGTCAGTTCATCTGCGAATTCATTCCGAGCTGTTCATTGTGTTCCGTGCATCCCATCACGTGTGAGGGTCTTCATAATCTAGTTAACCAACATACGAGAGGGTGATGGAGAGAGAGAGCAGCCCTATATGACACCAGTTGTCAGTTGGAATGCGTCTGTCACCTGCCAGCCATGTACGACTTTGTAGTGTAGTCCGTTGTAAGAAATCCGTGTGATGTCGATGATCTCCTCAGTTACTCACTCCATAGTGTCAAAGTCGGTTCCATAAGGTTCTCCTACCCATGCCGTCGTTTGATTTCTCATAGCCAAAGAAGGTGATTTATAGTGAGACGTTCCATATAATTGATTGCCCAACAATGATCTATAGTTTCGCGATTTGGCGTGTGCTCGCCTGGTCCTCACAGAATCCAACTTGTTGAACTCGGAGTTGAGCGTCTACTGAATTTTCCATTCGGTTCAGCAACACTGTTGAGAACTTATCCTGATACCGATAGTAGTGTGATTCCTCTGTAGTTTTCACATTAGCTGATATCCCCAGTTAGTTGGCACTTGCTCTTTCTCCCAAATGTTCCTGAATGGAGAGCAGAGCATGTTTGCAGTTACTTCTATGTGTGACTTCAGTACTTCAAGTGGTATATTTTCAGTTCGTGCTGCTTTCCCACTATTGATTTGTCTGATGACGGGCCATTCTGGTCTCTTCGTTCGTTTGTGTAGTGACAACTATAGGAGGGTCTGTGTGTGATGCTTCGATGTCCGTTGGGTTAAGTGGGGCGGGTCTACTCAAGAGTTCCTCGAAGTATTCTACCCATCTGTTCTTGAATCTCTGTGATAGTCTTATCCCTTTTATCCTTGACCGGTCGCTCTGATTTACTATATTTCCCTGTCAGTTTCTTCGTCTTGTCATATAGTTGTTTCATATTTCCTCCTGTTGTGACTTTTTCCCTCATCGTTGCTAGGTCTTCCATATATCTTTGTTTGTCAGCTCCAATGTTCCTCTTCACTTACTTGTTGCTTCTGTGTATTCAGTTTGTGCCTTGACTTTCTCTGTTGTCAGTTTCTGTCTTCTTGTTCTTCCTTTCTTGAATCTTGTTGAGGGTTTTGATGGAGATGTATTCCTTATGGTGATGCTTGTTGCGACCTAGCATTTCCTGAAACGTTGATGTTAACGCCTCTGTGATCCCTTTCCAATTGTCCTCCATAGTATTTTCTTCTTCTTTGAGTAAATCTTGTACGGCTTGAAACCTGTTGTTGAGAGTTATCTTGAATTGGTTGAGTTTGTCAGTATATCGAAGGAAGTCTGTATTGAACTTTTAGAGTACTATTTCTCCAGTTGTCCAGTGTTTCTCTAGCATCAGTTTTCTTCTTGGCAACCACCAGGTAGATGGTGATCTGAAGCTATGTCAGTTCCTCTCCAGGTTCTCACGTTCTCCATTGACCTTGTGAATATTTTAATGATGCAAATATGATCGAGTTGGTTTTGTGTGGTATAATCCAGTGAGACACACGCAACTTTGTGTATGTGTTTGTGGAGAAATATAGTAGTACCACCTATGATCATTTTTTTGAATGCATACTAATTTGCAAATCTGTCACCATTCTCGTTCGTTTCTCCCAATCAGTCAGTGTCGTTCCACGATATCTGGATACTCGGTGTTGTCCACTCCGAATTTAACGTTTAGGTCTCCCATCATGTCCTTCCCTGCACACATGGCTACGATTGATTGTGGCCTCATAGAACTGATCTTTATCATCATCATTGCTATCATTGGTTGGTGCATAACATTGTGACTCCCTCCTTACCTTCTTTTGAAAGATGCGTTGATTATTCCGGGTTGATAAGGTTTTCATCCTGTGAGTGCTCCATATGCTTCTTTGTACATTATCAGAGCAAGTTCCTGAGTGTGTAAAGCATTTCCTTCTTCGTAACCAGAGTGCAGCAGCAGCTCTCCTGAATCTAACCTTTACTGTGCAGATTTGGTTTTCATTGATTCCGTGAACATTCATGTTGTATCTCCGCATTTCCTTAATTATTAGATCAGTCCTTCCAGTCTCGCACATTGTCCGAACATTCCAATTATCTATGTTAACCGTTGCTGTTGTTGCTAGAATGGACATTGACCTCGTGGCTTTCGAGGAATCTTGACTTTCACCATGAGGTGTCATAATTCTTCTGAATGAAGCTCCTTCAACTCCTAATGAAGAATTTAAATAGTTTAATTTGTTCCTGTCGTTCGGCGCTTTCGGCAAGGTTGTTTTCCGCGTAATAGTATTGCTGACTCTGTGCCAGACCATCCTCTTTTTCTCGAGCTTAGAACCGGTGTATCACTAGAAGGGCTGCAGTTGAAGTTGCAGATTTTGAAAGTTACTTAATATTGATTTTCCTATATTTTGGTGAACGAAGTATCAATTCATCACCTTGTTCATGTCATACTTAATCATGTTTTCTTCAATAGATGATGGTAGCTGTGATCATTAAAGACTAAACTTTTTGTTGTTATTAGGTTTTTATTTCTTGACCCTTTCATTGGCTTTCTCAGACCGCCTCGAAATTGTCGTTAGATTGTTGTATTATGGTTATTTTT